CTAAATAAAATCAAATTAAAACAAATGTACATGTAAACAGGAAACATTGCACACCAACCTAAAGGAAGGGATCTTTTAACATCTCATTTCCCTCATTTAAGAGTAGTTATGGTCCTTGATAATTTGTTTGCGTGTAGCAATGCCTACAGCACAAAATCGGGCCATGTTCTCAGTTATTTGTGGATCTACATCAGGGGTAGGCAACCTTTTTTCCCCTTTAAGGGCCGAGGGACTTCAGCTCCCAGAAGCCTCAGCCATGTTGGCCAATAGTCCCATGTTGACCAATAACTCCTGGGATTCTGGGAGCTGAAGTCCATTGGCCCTTAAAGGGGAAAGGTTGCCTACCCATGATCTACATCCTCGAGTAGTAATGATAAATAGTGATTGGCTGTTTGCCCCGGGAATTTTTGTAAAATTGGATAAATTAAAGAGGAGCCAGACCCTTCAGCATTTTGGTCACCCTCCTCTGGACACGCTCCAGTTTCTCAACATCCTTTTTGAATTGTGGTGCCCAGAAGTGGACACAGGATTATTCCAGGTGAGGCCTGACCAAAGCAGAAGACTTTGGTGGCACTATTACTTCCCTTGATCTAGATACTATAATTCTATTAATACAGCCTAAAATTGCATTGGCCTTTTTAGCTTGGTGGGGAAGTTGTTCCCATCCATCTCAAGCACCCTCCCCAGCCACCTGCGCCAGCCATGGTGCCTCTGCCGTCCATCGGTTGCGGATGTTGGTGGGGGGTGGTTGCTGCTACTGCTGCCCAGCAGCTCCTTCCAGGTCTGGCAGGGCTGCCAGCCAAAGTGGGGAAAAGTCTACTGGGCAGCCACTGGTGGGAAGGGGCTGCTTGCTGGTCAAGCAGCAAAGCAAGTTGCCACACTTTCCCCTCACCCAGCATCACTGCTGGACCTGGAAAAGGTTGCCAGATCTATCCCCACCGGCGATCACTGGAGAAAAGAGGCTACCCACTGGATGAGATCTCAGTGGCGCTGGAGGATTCGAACAGCAGCTGGAGGATTCGAACAGCAGCCTCAGCAAGGAGAGTTGGAGACTGCTGCTAGCCTTCCTGAGACCAACATCCAGAGGGATTCCTCACTCAAACAGAACACAAGGTTGGAAAGAACTGAAATGACCTGAATTCTCCTACCAACGCAGATCACTTCCAGGGACAGAGGCAATAGCGTTATCTAGAAGAAGTCTGAGAACAAGGTGCACAGTACCCACCTAGCAGAAGTCACTTCTCAAGCGGCTCAGCTGGAGTTTCACAGTTGCTACAACAGCATCTCTTTGGCTCTTGGGCACTCTGCTGGGCTCCCTGCCAACCTGATGTTCAGTATACCTGAGCCACAGGGCTGCTCCTGGCATGGCAGAAGTGAGCTCAGATGGCAGGGTGGTAGAAGAGGGACCAGTAACCTGATGGTATGTAATTAAAATCCAGTCAGCATTGCAGTTATAAGGAAGTAACCAATTATTGTCATAGAATCATAGAATCTTAGAGTTGGAAGAGACCCCAAGGGCCATCCAGTCCAACCCCCTGCCATGCAGGAACTCACAATCAAAACATCCCCAACAGATGGAAAGGCATTCTCATTTTGTTGCTGGCTTTGTGACTGGGAAGAAGGGTTGGTATTGCTTTGGTATCGTTTCACTGGGACCTCTTGAGCAGCACTATTTCAAGGGCTGGTCCCTGGATCGGTGCCTGTCCCCAAGCCATCCATGGGGAGTGTTGCCATAAAGGAAACAATTGTAGCCATTGGGCATAAATCATAGAATCATGGGACCTTATCACACGGGGTCTAAAGCAGACAGAACTCCATCCCATCCCCGTCACATTGCGGTTTTTCCCCCCGTGTGTTCACATGACGTTGCACAGAACCCCGTCCCAT